GCGTGTTGCGAGGTGCTAGCCTCCGATATCCATTTCGAGGCCCCTACGTACGCCAAGCATAAGCAGACGCGGGGCAAGACGTCACACACACAGCTACGTTCATTGGCTAAAACAATCGAGTAGCGCAGTTAGGGATTTTCAGAATTATTTAATTTGAAGAAAACGTTCAATGGTCAAGAATGACGCACTCGACTCGTTCACGTTCTGACAGCGAGTGAAAATGCCGAATTCCGAAAGTAGTTACTCTCAGCATTGGTTTAAGTTATGCACAAGCAAACTTGCATTTACACGTTTACATATATACTTAATTGCTAATTAGTCATAAAAAATGTTTAATTAGCAGATTTTCTACCTTATCTTATTTAATAGCAAAGTTAAAAGTTGATGTGTGCCACGTAAATTTCTTGTGCAGTGGAGCAGTTTGAAACATGTATACGAAAGACAGGAGAATTGTCACAGGAGGAGCAACTAAAATTATCCACAGATGTTGATGCAGTATGATTCCAACTGGTGGAAAACACTAAGTGCTGAAGACTGTAGGTGAGCAGGAATTAATATTGCTTATAAAGTAACTGAATGGCCGATAATATCTTGTTGTATGCATAGTTACCAATTAGTGATGGGAATCGCGTTGGAATTTCATCAACTCATCGGTTGCACCAACCGATCGATGATCGAGGTAATCAGTTAAATGTTATTGATCGCGTCTACCAGATATTAAAATATATCATATATCTTATAATACAGTATTGTTTATAATACAATATTTTAAAAGCATGTAACAGTATTATACTGCTCGCAACAACAAAAAACACAAAAATGAAATAAAGAATCATTTCATCAATGTTTGCAAATTTATTTTAAAATATAAAAAACGATAATCGATATATAGTCGATCATGGGACGTACATCACTGGTTACCATCATTGATTGATTGGTATTACTGACAATAATTGCCAACCTTCCTGTATTTTCAGTAAGATGGATGCTATTGTGGCTACACTCATTATGCACTTGGAGGCCTACAGAATGTGAAGACTTTTACCCATTTATTAGCAAACTACTTACACATTATTAGACTCTCTTTGTGGAAGAGCGAGCAGTGCAAGTCGGCTTTACTTGTACTGGGCTTCTGTTCAGTCATGTCAGGTGTCACAATGGTGCTCTAGCAATATTGTTTTGTATCGTGTTTTGCCTCCTCAACTGATCTACATACGTGAAATAATGAAGACTTGCCAATTGGTGGTCGGATGTGTGGGGAGTATACCAGCAATTAAGTTTATTGAAATTTGTTCAGGTAGAAGATATGTACTGAATTGGGGGGGGGGGGTCAAGGTAAAATGTTTATTAGAGGTTGACTGGAAACTCGTTTTTTTCTGATTTCACATAGAAAAAAAGGCACGAAAACCGGTTGACGGGAGACTGTAGCACCTCTTCCTAGCATTTCTTACAGCAGTGTTTTGTTCCATGTTTAGTTATGTTATTAATTTAATCAATTATCATAATTCCCATTATTCACGAGTTATAATTATAGTTTCTTTTGATAGTTTTTGGTGCCTGGCCAACTGCTTCCATTTTCGTTGTTCATTTTCAAGTTATGTTAAGGATGTATTACGTACACGTTTTATGGCTGCACAATTTACTAATGGAAACGTTCAATAACTGTAGCCTCGTGACTGAAACAGTAATACGTACTATATAACGGTGCAGCATTTTGTTCTTGTTCAACGGGTTTTATCATATGAGTGTGTAGCTCATGTTTGCGTTACTGCTGCATTGTACCAGCACGATATACTGTATATTGCAGTTATTATAATATTGTATTACAAGACTATGCATTAGGTTAAGTATTATCATGACACTTTGTTTATTGTTCAATAAATTTGTTCAAACAGCTGTTCGTTATTGTCGGAAATCATCATGAACTCTTGCGTTTAGTATACACGTACATACTGTTTATGCTGTAAAGCCTGTTATTTTCTTCCACGCACGGGTGGTTTTGAACACTACGAGTACGGTGTTATGCCCGGAACACGTATCGTGCTGAGCACGAATCTCACCGTGTGCGCCAGGTATTAGTGAGTAATGTAATCGGCTGCTTCTTATGTAGCTGACCAATAGCAGGTGGTTAAGCCAGTCACATAATTTCAAAATTCAACAGCAGAAGTAGAAGCAGCAGTAGTAGTAGTAGTAGTAGCAGTAGCAGTGTGGAGATTTCAGGGGGGATGACGTCATACAACCAGAGACCAGTTCAACAGCAACAGAGATGGAAAGTTTTCTCCAACGACAGACAAGCGCGGGGGAGGGGGTCCCATAGCTACCAGATGTGGGAGGTAAGGGAGTTGCGCCACCATGTACACGCACGGGGCGAGGGAGTTGCACCGGCCGAGCACGTGGCGGACGGGGTGGGGCCGTGGTGGTGCGACGCTCGGACATATACTGGATCAAGGGAGTTGCATCACCCGTGCACGTGTTAAGCGATTAAGCGATCGAGGGGGCGGGTGACAGCGACCAGGCACCTGAGGCACGTGAGAGGGAGGCACTGCTTGCATCCTACGTCACCGCAAGGTCCTATATAAGCAGCCAAGATCCAACGGTAAAATCAGTCCGTCTTCGGACGGCCACGAACGAACGAACACGCGCTGTCGGAGGGAGAGCCACCCACGAGCAGGACGACGCCCGAGAAGGTATACCTTATACTAAGGGAGCTATAGTCTACCCCGGACAGGGAGACACTGCCAATTCCCACGAACTGGCGCCGAGCCTCGGCGCACACGACGGGGAGAGACAGACGAGGAACGGCGCTGGGGGCTACAATATTAACCCGTAGAATATAGTGTAGCGAATTTTGTGTGCAATAGATGGCGCCACGCGACTGTTTGGCGTGCACACGCGTTAGCGTACGCTAGCCTAG